GTCAGAAAAGATGCTCTGTATAAACAGAATCTTTTAATTCATTAAGATTGCTTTGTGGCCTAACATATAATCTATTCTGTGGCATATGCGATGTGGACTTGAGAAGAACATGTTCTGTGATTGGAGGGTGAAGTGTTGTGAATGTTTTGATTTTATCCACTTGTTTATGTATAATTTTCAATTGTTATATTTCTTTATTGATTTTATGCCTATTACTCTATCAGTTATTGATGTTATATTCTCAATGTTTCCAATTACTATTTTTTTTTTTCTTTCTGTATTTAGAACAGAGTCTATAGGGTCTACAGGGTCTCACTATATAGATCGGACTTGTAGTGATTCTCCTGTTTTCAGCTTCCCAAGTGCTGGGATTACAGGTGCATGCCACCACACACAGTCTCAATTGACTTTTCTGTGGGCAGGGCCGGCAGGGCATGGAGAGGATCAAACTCTGGCTGCTGCGCTCTGCCTAAGCAGGCGCTTTAGTCTGCTGAGCTATCAGGTCAGCCCCCAACTACTATGGCAGAATTATTTCTCCCATGAACTGTGTCAATGTTTACTTCGCATATTTTGCAACTCTGCCTTTAAGTGCCTATATGCTAATAAATCCTGCATCTTCTTGGTGCAGTGATCCTTTAACCAATATATGACATTCTTCTCTTATAATATAGTTAACTTAAAGTCTGATCTGTCTACTATTAGAATAGGCTCCAGTGTTCTTTTCTTGCTTACTCTGTGCATAGAACATTTTTAGCATCTCTTCACTTTGAACTTTTTGTGTCTTTGGAGCTGAAATGAGTCTCTTGCAACCACATGTGCAGTTGTGTCTTAGTGCTTGCCATTAATTAGCTCCCATGGGTGCAACAAAAGCAATGAGTACCAACCTGATTATTTGGGCTCTAAAGAGTACTGAGTTATGAGGTGATCTGTGCTGAATCCTCACAAGGTTCAGCAGATGCGTGTAGTGCCAAGCGAGTGGTGAGTACAGTGATATTTTCTTGTCAGAATGTGTCAACTACCAAATTCAACAAGTTTCAAAGCAGTCAATCACTGAGGCATGGTTGTACTTTGATCGTGTTTTTCTTTCTAATCTTTTCTGTCCATTACTACTGTATTACTTAGAATTTTACTGCTAGGACTTGGCATACGCACATTAGAGGAAGAAGGGTTTATTTTTGTTCACAGTTTCAGTGGATTCAGTCCCTGGTAAGCTGGCTCCAGGGACAGAGCACATGGTGGAAATATGTCTCAGAGCAAAACTGCTGGGTTCATGGTGACCAGGAAACAAGCAAAGAAGCAGCACTGGAGAGGAAGAGGCCAGGGACCATGTAGTACCCAAGGTCCCGATTCCACTGTCCACTCAGACACATCACAAGTGTGCTTTACTAATCTCCCAGTTGGTACCCAGACTGATCAGATGGCTAATTACAGTTAATGGACACAGCTTCTCTTTGACAGAGGGTTTATGTACATCTAAAGTAAATACTGCCAGGCATGGTGGCTCATGCCTGTAATCCCAATGCTTAGGAGGCTGAGGCAGGAGAATCACTGAATTTGAGGCCAGCTTGGGCTACAAAACTCAAGACCAGCCTGAACCACATAGAGAAACCCTGCCTCCAAAAGACAATAAATAAATAAATAAATAAAGTAAATATTATATAGAAGGATTTACTTCTTTCATTTGGCTGTTCGCTATATATTTTACATTTTGCTATTCTTGTTTCTCAATTCCCCATTACTAGCTTTTGTGTTGAGTTTTGTCAATGTAATATTTTATTCTCTTTTGATTTCTTTATGTTTGTACATTGTTTTGTTCTTAAACATTATAAATTCATAAAAATCTATTTTGATTTTAACTTCAATGTTGCACAAAATTCTCTGCTTTCTGTATTGTTCTGTATCTCTCTTTTTGTATTATTGTTACAAATTATATCTTTATATTCTGTGGCCATTATTACAGATGTATAATTATTATTTTATTCCAATAGTCTATTAACAACTGACTCTTGAGCTTTTAAGCTTTTATCTGTTAATTTTTTATTTTTATTTTTATTTTTATTTTTAGGAACCAGGGATTGAATTTATTTTTAGGAACCAGGGATTGAATTTAGGACCTTACGCTTGCCAACCAGGTGCTTGCTTATCCTACTGAGCTATCTCCCTGGCCCTTATCTGTTAATTTTTAATTTTTCCTTTTTGTTTTCTCTTCTTTTTTCAGTGCTAGGGACTGAACCTAGAACTTTGTGCTTGCTATGCAAACACCCTCCAACTGACTGTGCTGTAGCCCCAGGCCTTTCCTTCATTTTTATCAGCACCAGGCCCGTAAAAGCAGCTGTCCTCGCCTGTATCATTTTTAAAGGACACTTTTCTGAGAGAATTCTTGGTTTAGTTTTTTTCTTTCAATAGTTGAAGCATGCTATCATATGGTCTTCTAGCCTAGATAGTTTCTTAAGAGATATATTCATCTCATTCAGGCATCTGGGTATAAGGTGACTTGCTTCTCCGAGTTAAACTGCTTAGATTTCTTTCCAGGTTTGGGTGTGTAGCTTCATGCTTCCTCCGAAAATTGGGTCATTTCTGGGTATTCTTTCTTCAGAACTTCTTCCCACCCTTTTGCTTTCCTGTCCATGGAACTGCCACATGTGAATATTTGTGTGCTGGGGCCTCTTGCTTAGGTCTCAACTCTCTTCTTCCTTGTCTTCGTCCTTTTCCCTTTGTGTGCCTTAGACTGGCCATTCTCACTTAGTCTATCTTTGAAGTCACTGACTCCTTCTCATCCCTGCTCAAATGTACTGTTAAAACTGTAGTCTGTTTTCTGTGTTTATTGTCATACTTTTCAGCTCCAGAGTTTATATTTGATGGCTTTCTGTAAGTTTTATTTCTTCAGTGATATTCTCTATTTTTTAATATTTATTTATTTATTTATTTATTTGTATTTTAGGACAGGGTCTCCAGGGTCTCACTACTAGATTGGACTCAGAGTGATTCTCTTGTTTTTAGCCTCACAAGCGCTGGGATTACAGGCGTGCACCACCACGCACAGTCTCAACTGCCATCTCAGCTAGCCCTGGGGGTGGGACTAGCACTGCAATTGAACTCCCTCCAGCTGCCTAAGCAGGCACTTTAATCCTCTGAGATCCTATTTGGCTGGCCCTGATATTCTCTATTTTCTGAAACATCGTTCTTCTGTTTTCCTCTGATATTTGTCCATAGTTTCCTTTAGATCTTTGAGCCCATGTGAGATTATTGCTGTAGAGCCTTTGTCTCCTAAGCCTGGCATGCCTCCTTCCTTAGGTATAGTTTCTGCTACTACTCTTTGCCTATGAGTGGTCAGCACTGGCGGCTTCTCAACATACCTCTCAATTCTGAGCCGAAAAACCTATAATTTCAAATATTATATTGTGCTAACTATGGAAGTCATATTCTTTTCCTTCACCAGGGCTTGCCCTCACTGTTGGAAATATAAATTGTAGTTTTTGTTTGTTAGTGATTTTTTAATATTTTTGAGAAGGGCACTGTTTGTTGTATGTGACCAATGAAATCTCTAAGTGGTTGAATCATAAGAAAAACTCTGGTTTGTCTCTGGTTTGTGCAATAGGCTCTCTGTGTGTTGCAGAATTCCTTCATGCTTAGTCAGGTTTTTACAACTCTAGCCTTGCTGGACTTCTGTTTGCATGGAGCTTTTAGGGCATCCAGAGTGAGAGCTTAGGGCTTCCTCACATCTAATCTTTGCATGTGTCCAACTTTAAACACGGTCTTCTAAATTCTCCGGCATATGTGACTGTTGTTCCCAGTCTTATTCTCTGAAGTACTTCACTCCTAAGCCTTTCTTTGCAGGAAGTTTGTCAGATTATTATTATTTTTTTCTTGTATCATTTTCCTTATGTGGAAGTAGGTATCTCTTTTCTCTTTAAATGTCTTTGACCAATGCCACTGCATAGTTGCTTTTAGACTCTGAAAGAGTTGATGTTGGGAATAGAGGTGAGCTCTCGGAGGTGTCTCAGGCAGATGAAAACAGAGCTACAGTTCTTTGGAACAAGTTCCCTGGCCGCTCGCAGCTCCTGGAGCCCATGCAAGAGCTGTGTGCCATCACGAGGCCCGGTGCTGCTGTGGGAGTGGAGGCTGAGAGCAAGAGATGTTAACTCAGGCGTGGCACGGTCTCATCTTGAGTCCTCGGTGGAGGCTTTGCCAGCTGAGAAGGAATTCTGGGCAGGTTTCCAGCCAGCTGCGCCTCCCTAGGAGCTAACAGTAGATGGATGTGAGGAGCACATTCTTGAATGTTAAGTACTCCTCTGAGCCTGCCAACCATTAGGATACTTACGGTCAGTGAGGTCTGGAGAAACCAGGAAGAGAATGGTGGAGGAAGTAGGGGCTAGGCCTGAGGGATTTGCTTTGGTGCTAGCTAAAGAACAAATGTTGGTTAGAATTGAGCAGGAGATAGCTATAGGTCACTTGGACTGTGAGGGTAGTGTGACAGTGGAGTAGTGAATGCACTGGCATTCCAGGTTGCTGTCACTGGGATAGAGTATTTAAGGAGCAGAAAGCATACCATCTTAGGGGTTAAGAATATAGAAGCTGGATGCTAATTTTTCTAGCACTTCATAGCCTGCTGACTCTGGGTAAATTGCTTAACCTACATTGTTTTTCCTCATCTGGGACCGCAGTTCCTTCCTTGTGAGTTGCTGTGGGGGTAGAAATAGCACACACCTGCTGTACAGCGGAGATCTACCCAAGGCAGAGGATACAGACCACCCCCTCATCCCTCAGGCCACAGTTCAGGCCCTGTGTTGGGAAAGGACAGGTTGTTTATAAGTGGAGGCCTTTAGGAGCCAAGGTAGGTGTGGAGTAACTGCTAGCGTAGGCATTAGTTTTCTGCACTGGTTTTGTTTAGTGTATGTGGGCTTCATGGTCTGGGACAGATCCAGGCATGGATCACAAGACGCAGCAGACTCAAGGTAGCATGAAGTCTTATCTGACTGACCGTCTCTTCTGTTTCACAGCCATATACAACTTCCAAGGCAATGGATCCCCCCAGCTCACCCTGCAGATTGGTGATGTGGTGAGAATACAGGAGACCTGTGGAGGTGAGTGAGTATCCACTTAGTGCCCAGACGCTGGGCCTTGGACGATGAAGCTCCTAGTACACATCAGGCACTTCCAGCGCTCTCCAAAGCTGCCCCCACATAGTCTGTTTCCCTAGGTTTTGCTGACATAAGTACAATCAGCTCTCTGTGTCCACAGATTCTGCATCTACTGGTTTTACCAACTGCAAAAGGGAAATTATAGAAAGAAATTGCATCTGTTCTGAACATGTTCAGTCATTTCTTGCTGTTGTTCAATAAATAATCCTATTTATATAATATTTGCCCTGTAGTAAGTATTATTGGGAATCTAGTGATGATATAAAGTAAATGGGGAGATATTCATAGGTTATGTGCAAACACTGTCATACTGTACGAGAGCTGGAGTGTCTGTGGGTGTTGGCATGCACAGAAGGTCCCATAGCCCACTCCTCCCCCTCTAGGCTACTGAGAGGTGAGTGTCATTTGTGTTTATTGAACACATATATTTTATTATTTTTGGAAGTTTTGTTTCATAATAATGCTTTAACTGAGTGGTGTGATCTTTGTTCTGCTCTTAGACATTTATTTGTTGAAGCCGTAGGACTGTTTTGCCCTGTGGCTTCTTTTCGATGCACTTACTAAAAAGAAAATTACTCTAAAGGAAGATAGACATTATTAGGATTTGGAAGGGTGCCATAAATTATACTCCTGATTTGAGGAGGATGGCTCCTCTACACAATAGGGTGATTTCTGTACTGCGCAGACACAGCCAGGCAGCGAGCGACAAGAGGTTCACTCTTGTCACCAAGATGTGATCCCTTATTTAAGCAAAGTGTTACCTGTTTGCTTCTGCAAAGCTACTGCCCCATACTGAAGTCAAGTGTCTTTGTACTGTGTCACCCACAGCATTGGTGGCAGTAGTAGGGATGTTGCTTAAAATTCACATAAAGGCTCAAGGCCTGGACTGGTGAATCAAGGGGTTGGAAACAACATGTCACCTGTGTCACTGATAAACTTGATATTGCAAGCATGATTTGAGTGTAAAAACCAAGTGAGCTTGGTAATATGCCACAGGGTTTCCCTCTCTCACTGGCTGAGCTTGGCTCCTCCTATAGGAGGGCTCAGCATATGTGCTTCATGTGGGTGGGCAGATAGAGGGGCAAGAAGAAAGCAATGGTGTGAGTACCCAGGCCTGGTCCCCTTCCCTAGCTCCTCTATCAGATGAGGCCCTAGAAGGACAGCTGTGCAGTAGGAGGCGTGTGTGCTGCGCGGTGGACAGGCAGACTAGGAGTGAAGAAGCCCTTCACATCCAGCTACAAAGCAGATGCTGTGCTCAGTTCTTCGTGGCACATTGTGCTACTCACTCCTCACGTGACCTCGCAAGACAAGCAGCAGTAGCTCCAGGACCGGATAAGCTAAGTCCAGCTTCCGGCACAGCAAAGCCCCTACCCTCTGCAGATATGCACGGGACTCCTTGTGTCACATCCACACCCTCCATAAACTGCAGAGATTCACACACCTAGAGAAAGCATACACACATAAAGACAGTAGCCGATCTACAGAAGTGTACAGACATACCAACACGTATAGGCACACGTGCACACACACAGCTAAAGCCAAGAACACAAACAAAAAAACTCTTGGGGAGAGGGGATATTTAGCATTTCTAAACAACTTTAAGAGTCATCATGGGTGAAATAAGAACTGTTTTCATCTTCATTTTAGTTTTCATGCTTTAGCATTATTTTATTTTGGGTGCATCTAGGACGTAACATGCGCTTCTCAGTTTCCACAGCCTGGGAGGGTCACAGTGAAAGATTTTTTACATACAGAATGGATGCAGCTGGAGTAGGGGCTGTCTGCCTTCCTACGTACTCAGGTCTATGGTTCCAGACCACGGCCCCTGCCCCACGCAGCAGTCTTTGGACTCTAATTCTACCCTTTGACAGATACGATTTCATGTTCATTTTTTTCTGCTTAGCTTAACCCCCCCCCCCCTCATTTTGGCAGTTTTTTCTTGAGCTGTATTCTCAGCCCTTTTTATTCATGTTTTTTGTTTGTTTCTTTATTTTTAATTTTAAGACAGGATCTTCCTAAATAGCTAAATTGCCTAGGTTGGTCAACAACTGTGATCCTCCTGCCTCAGACTGCCAGAGTGCTGGGATTGCAGTGCTGGGATTACAGGCATGAATTTATCAGATTTATTTATTTATTTATTTATTTATTTATTTATTTATTTTTGTATTTTGGGGAAGGGTCTACAAGGTGTTCAAGGTCTCACTACTAAATTGGACTCATGATTCTCCTGTTTATGGCCTCCTAAATCCTGGGATTATAGGCGTGCACCACCACACCCAGTCTCAATCACCATCTCAGCATGCCCCAGGGATGGGGCTGGCATGGCAGGCCCGAGGATCGAGACCCACGCCCTGGGTCCGGCCCCTGTGCCTGCTTGCATGTGCTTTAATCCGCTGAGCTATTTGGCTGGCCCAAACTTAACAGTTTTAGACAAAGAAAGTAGATTCTTGAAAATAGCCTTAGGTATCAGGAGTGGTTAATTCTGGGTGATTGTAACATGAGCGATTGCTATTATAGGTTTTGTATTTTTGATAATTTTAAAATCTCCCCTATGACCCCAAAAAGTTGAAATGGAAAGTTCATGAGATTTTGAGTCAGAATGCTATTCCCTGATTCCACTGCTCACTCTCTAAGGAATCCTGGACTAGTGTAGCTTCAATTTTCTCGTCTGTCCAATGGGCCATTACCACCTTGTTTTGGGCCTTGTTAGGGGCAAAAAAAGAAACTTCCAGTAGACTGGGCGTGGTGGTATGCGTCTGTAATCCCAGCTCTTGGGAGGCTGTAAACAGGAGAATCACTATAAGTGTGATCTAATAGTGAGACCCTGAACACCCTGTAGACCCTTCCCTGAAATACAAAAAGAAAAAAAATGAGCTTCTAGAAGGAGTGCTGTTGTTCAGTTCCATCCTTTCCTCCATTATATATAGCCACATCCAGTGCAGGCTGGTATGCATCTCCACAGTGTGGCCCAGGAAACCCGGAAGTTGAGTCTGTGCCTCAGCTGGTGAGGCTGGCCTTCTTTGTCTGGGGTCTAAATTTGCTCAGCTAGATTAATGAAGGTATCAGGCAAGGACCAAGAATGAAAATAAAGTCACAAGTACTCTCCTCACTATATCCAAAGATGCTACTGATGCTAATCCTGAGAAATGGGCACAAGACTTCCTGTCTATAGATGAGGAAACCAAGGCTTGGAAGAGAAACGACTTTCCTAGGGTCACACGATGAGCCAGTGGCTGCTTACCGGTACCTCAGTCCTCTCTCTTTTCTCCCCCTCATGCCTCCCTAACAATGAGAAACCTTAGTTATTATTTTTCTGTCACTGAAACTCAGATGCATATTTTCCTCTTCTTTTCCTGCTGTTTCTCTACAGGGAGAGCCTGAGGGAGTAGCTTTAACACAGAGGCTGCCTGCAGTTGGAGCCTTACCAGTACCTCTGCCTAGCCTGCTACCCCAGCCTGTAGCAGGGCCACATTGAATGGCTCAAGCAATCTTTTATTTTTCTTTGAGTTATCTTCATTTGTTCTTTGAGTCAGGTTTTTTGTTAACTTTTAATTGGATTTTATTAGTCTTTTTTTGACATATCCTATAATAACCCAGCTACAATAACTTGCTGGAAAGAATTGGTATCCTAACTTGCTAAGAGGCTACTAATTCATTAATACTTTGAAAATACAGTATGCAGAAGTCTGCTAGACTGATTCTAGCTATGTGAGGGATTGGTATGCAAATTATTAGGACTCCTCACATTTGCATTCATTTACATCTATACAGTGCCTTCAAACTGGAATTTGTGGACATAGTTGTCCTGAGGGTCTTGGGGGTAGAGAGGACTGTGGTAGGGTCTCAGAACAGGTCTGGTACTGTCAGAATTGCAGACAAGAGCTTGCTCCTGATCTGAGAAACAGTGTCTCCTGGCATAGTTGGAAGGACGTGGTCGTGGTCATGAAACTGGTAGGAAATTATTTGAAAAGAAAAATCCAGCCAATTCAGACATGAATCCAAGTGCAACCATATGGGGTTGAAAAGCTGTCAAGAAAAAGAGATGGTGGTGAACACAGTCAAATAAGTAGATTTATTAAAAACTGGCATTAAGATATTTAATGTTACCATTTAATATTTATGGTTACCAAAAAGAATGTTATTGGTAGGAATCTGAATGATTTAAGAAATGTAGTAAAATTGAGCATTAGGAGGAGAATGGAAGAGAGGTCTATGACATTGCTTTCACAGGAAAGCACAATCAATATTAATTAGAGACAGAACATTATTTTTAAAAAGTGTAGCAACTGCAGTATTTTAATGTTGCTTGTAACTACTTTTCATTTTAGAGGAGTTTTAAGGAAATATTTCTAGTAATGAAGAAACAAAGCATATGATTGCTTTCACTTCCACTTTATTTATTTTTCGTCTGTTAGATAAGTGATTTAATTTGTGATTTTTTTAACCTAAATACCGATCTTATCTATTTATGTGTCTGTTCTTCTCTGTAGATAAATATAAATGAAGATTTGACTGGAATCATTTTCTGTGCAGTGGAATTCAAAATTAGTCCATTAGCACTTGTATTTATGTTTTTCTGTGTAGTTTAAATTATTTATGATGACATATCTCATTAGAAAAAAATACAGTCTTAAAAATAGGTGCAAATATTCTCAGACATTAGCAGTGATTAATTCTACTGGTTGAAACGTGAGGGACTTTTTTATGCTTTGTACTTTTTGATTGCTTTTAAAATGTTCTCACTCTACCCTCCCATTCTCCCTCCTTCCCCCCAAAAGAAGTGAAAAAAATCACAGGCTTTGGAGTCAGAAATCTCTTTCCTGCTTCCACTATCCACTAGCTACAAGATCTTTGCTGAGTGGATTTCATTCTTCTTATCTTTCAAAGAGGTGATTACTACTTTACACTGGAGCTTGTTATGAACATAAAACGAAGAAAATGTA